TTTCAGGGCAACTCTTTGAATTTGCCCCTTATTCAAGGAGAACTGTTTATGACCTGCGTCTGCATGAACGCACAAAGATGCATACCATTACTTTTTTGAATAGATTTCAAAGGTTTTGAGGTTGCTTCATCGAGCCTTACTGTGAATTTCTTTTGATAAAAGGGATACTGAATGCGTGTTCAAAGTGATAAAGTTTGACTTGAGAAACGTCAATGAGAAAACCACTATTTACTGCACGCTGAAAATATGAAAAATACAAAAAGGTAATTTGAGCCTTATGGCCACAAAATGCAGTTTAAAATTTTCTATAGCGAACTTACGCGTTGAGTATCCGAAAAGATATTAAGTGACTGCGTTGCATATCGTTTTTAATGATTTTTTTTTCTTTCATATGAACCTGTTATAATTCTATGAGCAAAAACTATTGTTTTCCTTGATTCAAAATAAAATGTGAACATGCAATGTTTTATCTTTATTTATGTATTTATTTCGTTAGTAATAGACAGAAGTAGGAAATTAGGGCAAGCATAGCATTGACATTTTAGACTTCCAGGAGACCGGCTGTTGCAAAGTGTTCAATGCCGCATTCGTTCTCTCCACGAAGAATTCGGAAGTATCCTGAGCAAAAGTTTTTATAGCTTCCGTCAACTCCTAATTGCGCATCTTACCTTCTTCTCCCCAGTCGGTGTTCCATGAGTTTGCAATGGTCCAGTAGGGAACACCTGTTTCCGTTACTCCCCATCCAATGATCTTTATAGCATGGCCTCCTTCTTTCTTGCCAGCCACGTGCTGGAAGTAAAGATGCTAACGAGTTTTAAATCATCGCGCTAAAGCTGCAAGCTTCAGAGTATGAAAGCATCGAAAAAGCAGCAAATGGGCTGAGAAAAGGTTACTGGAATTCTTATTTTTGCCTTAACTCCTTAAATGCATTATTTTAAAGTTTCAAAACTCAGTTCTACTGTCAGCTATCTCTCCCATATTTTCACTCGATATACTGGTAAGCTTATGACATAGGCTAGGCATACTGCAGAGATAAAGAGTTACTTTGGCAGCAACAATCCAGAATTCCGTTCCCGTGT